GTGAAAGAAAACACACTAAATGCGCACACGCACTAGTCTAGACTTCACGTAATGTATGCGTGCGCTCTGTAGGGATGTTTTGAATGGTTTTTGCAAAATACTCGATAATGTCAAATCGCACATCGTTAAAACAACAATTACGATATTATCGCACACCCCTACTTGTTACACATTACATGTACTTCCTATAGTAATAACAAATTATGCAACTAACCATAAACAAACCCTTATCCTAACCATATAGTAAGTACATGTAGTTAATTAATATTACTCAGTACTTAAACGTGTAATTACACTGTAATAAGGACACCCATAAAATAGTGAATCCTAATTTAATATAAACACTATATTTCATTGACTCAAGGATAAATAGAATTGTGATTTGTCCTACCTGTTTGCCAACACTGTTGATATCAAACTGCAGGGCGACACCTTTAGGAGGCTTCCTCTCCGGCTCCTCTTGAGGAGGTGAGGAGCGTGCTGGAGTCTCGGGGTGCAGGGACCAGGACTGAGCAGGCCTGTACGGGGCAAAAGAAAACCTCATTAGGTCTGTGTTCCCAAACTCACATTCACAACATGCTAGAAAGAGTCTCAAAGGTCAAACTAAAATGACAAGACAGAAACAAATGAATGTGAAATATGCTTTCAAAATATGTGGAGCTTGTTAGACAGAACATGCATCTTATCTGAACATCTTTAAAAGAATCTTTTAAAACACAAAAACAAACAAACAATTACAAATTAAAATATCTGAATGGCAACCATTGTATGTATTATGAAATGATGCATCTGGCTTTAATCAAACGTAATCATACTCAGGCTGTGTTCTAGCTGTGGGGTTGTCTATTGACACAGTGAGGATGCCACTGTTGTTTGTAGGAGTGCGCCACCTGGTCGAAAAGAGGAGAGAAATTCGGAACAGTAACAAACTTACAGTACATCTACACTACTGCTCAAACGTATGGCATACAGAAGACTTAATGCATTCTTGCTGAATAAAAGTATTTCATTTATTTTTTTAAAATCTTTATGATCCCAAACTTTTGAATGGTAGTGTAGTAATTTAACTAAAATATCATTTAAAAAATTTAATAAATTAAAAAAAATGTCAAGAATGGTGTTTACTTACGAGCGAGTTCTCTGTGTGGGCTGAGCAGAGCTTGTCTTCTGAACTTGTGCATGAACCTATTTGAAAAAAAAAAGTTGAAGAATTTGAAGTTATTGAAAACCATTCTTGCTTTATTCTTAACTACCATTTGACGAGACTTTGATTCAGTGCGTTTATTCAGTGAAGGATATGTCAGATTATTTTTGAAATAGCTGAATTAAACTGTGGGTTTCATTCTTTTTCGTGTGATTCATTAAAAGAACTGGCTCACAAGAGTAGTACACTAACCAGTAACAGATTTCTGACATGCAAATTCTAGGGATAAAATCACCAGTTTTTAAACATGCAAGGCTCGCAAAATCGCTAGCCCGACGAAAATGTATCACCACCCTGCCCTAAATACAGAGTTCCCGCTGGTCCTTAAAAAGTCTTCAATTTAGTTGTATCAAATTTAAGGCCTTAAAAAGCCTTAAAGGGGTCATATGATGCGATTTCAAGTTTTCCTTTCTCTTTGGAGTGTTACAAGCTGATTGTGCATAGATAAGATCCCTGAAGTTGCAAAGACTAAAGTCTCAAATCCAAAGAGATATTCTTTATCAAAGTTAAGACTCTGCCACGCCCCCCTAAAACGGCTCATTCTAACACGCCCCCACATATCTACCCCACTATGTGGAAAAAATAATGATCTTTAAAAAAAGCATCATATGACCCCTTTAAATGGCATAAGAAAAGTCTTAATTATAATTTCAAGAGGTCTTAAATTTGGGGACGGAAAGACGAGAATCGTCATATGGTATGATTAATGTGACGGCAAAAGGCTGATTTCATCATGAGTGCTGCACGTTTCAAAGTCAAAACACGGCGCAAGTGAGCAAAACTTTATGTCTTCAGAAAAGTTTTGATGTCATTTTCATTTCATCTTTCCTATAAGGCTTAATAAAGCAGTGTTTATGAGCGCAGTGCTGCTTTGTGTACAGCCATTACCAGGAAACCCCTATATTCGAGAAGGGTCCGTCTGCGTCCCCGCAATACTACAAACCACGCCCCTCCAAGTTACGCCTACTACTACAAGTTACGAGTCCTGCATAGAAACAAGCGTGGATGTAATGGACTAAAACAGTAAATTATTTTGTTTTATGTATGAAATGTTTGTAAGGCTACTTATTACTTTCAAATTGCGAAATTTATGAAGTGTGAAATAACAGCTAGTAGTAAAACATAAAATAAATAATATAATCAAATTGATACAGACATATGGTAATTATGCCCCTTACGTCGGCGCCGATGGCCTCGTGGGCATCCCAAGTTCGAGTCCTGGCTAGTGGACCTTTCCCGATCCCACCCCCCCCCCCCCCCCCCCTCTCTCTCACCCACATCGCTTCCTGTCGACCTACTGTCCTGTCTAAATAAAATTAATTTACTGTCGAGTTTCATAATTAAAATACTTTTTAGAAACGGAGGAAAAGACACAGGATGACTTACGGTGTCTGGTGAGCTATGTAATACAATCTGTATGCCTCATCGCTAGGTGGCGATAGTGAAGCGTAAAAAGCGAGGAAAGTGAAGCAGAAGAAGAACGGTATGACATCAGCGATTCCCTAATTGGCTGTTTCGCTGTAGGAGGTGTAACCTGTAGTAGTAGGCGTAACTTGGAGGGGCATGGTTTGAACTACTGTGGGATGCAATCGGATACACTTGCTATATTCTGCTGCTCCAAAAGCGCCACCTATTGACAGAGAATTAATTTGCATCTTCAATAAGCCTTTCTGCTGTGTGTGTTCAGACCAATGCGAAAATCGACCCATGTTTTTATGACGCAGAGTTGTAAATGTGAAAGCAAATGTGCCTTCTAAAAATCTAAACAATTAAGACAAGTATGATCTATGCTTATATGCTTTAAATTAATATAATTTATTTATATAAATAAATATATTAATAATTTATTATATTCATTTAAATGTGACATTTATCATTTTATGTTTTTGTGAAAACCCGTTTCTGAACTGTAAATCATGTCATTTTACGGTTTAATACAGGGGAGTCAAACTCAATTGTTGGAGGGCCAGAGTCCTGCAGAGTTTAGATTCAACCCTAATTAAACACACCTGGGGGTTGTTTCATAAAAGACGCTAAGAAAAGCAGGGATTAAATTACAAAATCTGACTTGAAATAACCTAACAAATCAATCGGGGCTAAAGCAGTTCCATAAACAACTATTTTAAGTTCACGCAATCTCCCTCCAGATCCAGGTTCAATGAGTCAAGAACATTTGATGTGCACGCTTATTCTCAAGCAGTCGATCATGGATCAAATCGATCCACCATGGCAAACAGCGAATAGATTTGTGCTGTTTAATGCATTTGAGATGTGTTTTCTTCAGTGCATAACTGACATGTCACAGTTATATTCTTCATTTGTAAATGTTAAAAAGTCATGCAAATATATCCATGTTGCTGTCAGGAGTGGGCGAGGCTTACGCGAGTGAACGCATGTGCGCTAAACAGACGGAGCGCAGTAGAAAAGGAGCGCAATAATTCTGAGTAAAGTACACATTTTGCTAAAATATTAGTTGTTGGACACTGTGACATGTACAATTTTAAACCTACATATATAAGTGTATTCTTACGATAGCAGTAACTGTAAATCAAATGTAAGCTAGCTAATACAGCCCTACTAGCTCAAATGAGTTAATATTCCTCTTATCAGTTAAAATATTGTCTGTTTTCTATTATTTATTTTCATTTTTAATTTAGTGATTTTAACTTTTAATTTAGTGTTTTAATGCTTTAAAGAGCAATTTTATATTGCAATGTTTTAATGTTCTACTAATATCCATGGCTAGAAACTGCTAGCCCTTAACTCTTTCCCCGCCATTGACGAGTTATCTCGTCTTTTAGAAGACAACGCTTCCCCGCCAAAGACGAGTTTTTACAGCTTTTAGTGTTTTCACTGTTATACACTAGGAGGCGCTATTACACATCTTCTGAATGAGTACAAAGCCTCCCGAACAACATATAAATGAAAACTGCACAATGTTACGGAGTAAAATGTTGATCCAGGAAGTGGTATATGTCTGTGCAAGCTTTGGAGATGTTGATAGAAGCTATTTACAGGATTTATGCTTTGATAATCGTGCTGAATATTACCCAGATGTAGTTTTTGATAAAAATGAGATTCTCACCTTTTTGCTCAAAATTATGCATTTTTATGAAACCTACCTATATTCAAGTGTTGATAAAAAAAAGAATGCTTTAAGCTAAAATAAAAAATGAGTGTTTTTCAAAAATGCTGGCCGGGAAAGAGTTAAGTGCCACCCCCCATTTTTGAACATAGACGTGAAAGTGCACGGTCCAAACTTAAATTATTATAATTCATGAGAATTTTGGAACACAGACCTAAGGTTGGACTCCTTTTTAAGAAGACAATCTGCAGATTACTGCAGAAGTGGAATCATTTCAAAATATTAAAGTATCAAAAAGTTATAGAAGTTTAAATTTACTGTAAAGAAAATGCACTGTACCATTTATTTTATTTTATATAAAGTAAATATTTTACAAACTATTTTTGAATCCAAAATTGATATAAAATTAAAGCCTTACGTCGAAATAAGTTATGTTCCAAATTTGAAGTTGATATAAAAAGGTTCCTGTGAGATTTTATTTAGGGCGTTATACCACAAACAGCCACCGGGTGTCATCCAAACTCTGTAGAATTTTTGTTGATGCATTTTTCTGTCAGGAAGGTCTAAATTTCTCTGTCAGTATTACTTCTATCAAAAAAAAACACCAAATATGGAATGTTGAGACTCAGACCTTTCCAAATATATGTATTTTGTCAAGATTACAAAAAATTTTGATTCTAAAAGACCGTAATACATTTTGTAATATGACACTTGACTCCACCCACTAAGGGGTGGAGACCGCTAAAAGATTTTAAAGTACCATTTCCATGGTAAAGCAATGTCCGACTTAAAAATGGTTTTCACAGGATGAATTCTGAGGTTTTACGCTTTCAAATGATATATAATTTATGATGATTACTAAAATATGTGAGAGAAAAAAGACAAAAAAAATAAAAAATAAAAAAGAGCTCCATTGGGCCCACCTGTGGGCCGGTGGCACTTAATGGGTTAATGCTTTAAAGAGCAATTTAGATCGTAATGTTTTAATGTTCTACTAATAACCATAAAGTACAGCTGTCATAAAACCAGAGAGAAAGGCTGCATGGCTAGAAACTGCTGATCAACTGAATGCGCATGTGGCAACCATGTTAAAATGTTTTCATATATCTTAAAAAAAATTTTATTAAATCTTGGACACAATATATTCAATACAGTCGGTTGTAGCCTATATTTTTATTAATTTGATTTAGTTGCATAATTTTATTTTTGGACTGATAATGTCAAATAATTGTATGTGAGAGAGTCAGCGGTAATATAAATGCGTTCCTATTGGTCAGTGTTAGAGGAACTCAGCTTAGCCTGACAGTTAGCCTGCCTCAGACCAGGTTAGTTTCCCAGCATAAGTTGCCAGAGTGACTGAGCTTGAGCTATGGTAAATTTGCTTTATGAAACCAAATCAAGTGAAAAGTCAGACTAACTGAAATAAGCCTGGCTTATTTGGTAAACTTGTTTTATGAAACAGCCCCCTGATCCAAATAATCAAGTCTTTCAGGCTTATTTGAAAGCTACATGGTATGGGTGTTGGAACAAAACTCTGCAGGGCTCCGGCCCTCCAGGAACCGAGTTTGACACCCCTGCTTTAATATGTTACTATTGACAATTGCCCTACCCCACTCATACGTTGTTAATTTTATTTGTGCAGGTCTTAAAAAGGGTCATAAAAAGCCTTAAATAGATTTTTTTTAAATCGCGCAGATACCCTGTAAACACTGAAATAAAATTCCTTCCTTGATATTTGTGTTTTGAAAATGTTTTTGATGGACATTTCGACTCCTATCCAATTTTCTGCATACATTGTGTTTGCTGAGCAGTCGGAGCATTCCTGTAGAGAACAGATGAACAACAAAAGGCAAACATTTTCACAGAGACAACTTCAAAAAATAAAAACAAACAAATAAATAAAAGAAAAAGAAATTACGTCGTCATGATGTCACCATTTGTTACAAAAGATTTCTATTTCAAATAAATGCTGTTCTTTTTCACTTTCTCTTTATCAAAGAATCCTGAAAAAAAATTATCATAGTTTCCACAAAAATATTAACTATTTTCAACATTGATAATAATAATAATAATAATAATAATAATAAGAAGAAATGTTTATTGAGCAGCAAATCAGCATATTATACTGATTTCTGAACATCATGTGACACTGAAGACTGGAGTAATGATGCTGAAAATTCAGCTTTGCATTACAGGAATAAATTACATTTTAATATATATTAAAACAATTATTTTAAATTGTAATATTTCAACATTACTCTTTTAATGTTTTCAAGGCTGCCTTTAATTTGAAAATTTAAACTGACCAACCTAAAACCTGAGTTGTAGAGTACATAATTTTGAATTCTGCCTAAAAAGTTCCATCTTGGTCTCATCTAAAAATGAGTTCTTTTAGGCAAACTCATGCTTTAACTTGGACTAGAGCTGTGGCTTCTTTTGCGCCCCGTTTTCATAAGGCACTGCGCACATAGCAACCACTCTCACTTTATCTTAATATTTTAAAAAGTTGTATATATATATATATATATATATATATATATAGATAATACAACAAAAAAGCAATCATACCATTTTCTGCGAAGCCGAAAGGGTCTGTAAGAAACTGAGCCCTGAGGTTTCTGAGAGTCCATCTGTCTGTTTGGTCTCCTCTGGATCTGCATCTGTCGTCGCTGGATAAATGGCTGAGATCTCTGAGACAAGTGATAGCACGCATATAAAAAGCTGAATTCGTTCACACGTATATGACAACAAAGTATCACTTTTTAAGTATCATAATCGCCCTTCTATGCAAGATTAGTTTCCACACCTGGTTCACAGCTGCACTGTTGGGCATCGGTCGGTTCTGGGCCGGTCGGTTGAGTGGACTGATCCCTTTAAGCAGGGCGGCATTTTTTCTTGCAGCTAAACCAGTGATGACCCCCTGCCCACGACGCCTGGCCACCGTGGGAGGAAGCTTGCAGTTTCGAGTGAAGCTTTTGCTCACAACACCTCCTACAGATGGCCAAAACAAAACTAGTTGCAGAAACTCATCAGACATGGCTGATTTGCATACAATGAAACACTGAATTCTTTATAAACCTGTGAATTTATTGTTATATTGTGGCTGTTGGTCAATTTTTTTTGTGTTCTCACAGAAGCACCAACTTATTAACGGGGGAAACATCAACTTTGATGGACTCTGCACAAAATGAATGTGACAAAAAAGAAAATGTCACATTCTGACCTCTTTTAGGTGGCATTCCAGCTCTTGGCCCAGTTTTCTTCCCTTGGGGGAAGCGACCTTTCACCGGAAGTCTGTGCTTTGACTTCTGGGCCTGGAATTGATTCTGCTTCTTATTCAGCCGGATAATATCATCTATAAAATAAGAATGCAATAAATCTGGTCCAATTAAACTATACTGGTCACCTCACACAAAGTGATGTGTTGTTCAATTAAACACAAAAAATAACATTAAGCACATCAAACAAAAACAGTTAAGATAAATGTACTTGAATTCAATAAAACTCCTGAAATGTTCATTGAAAACACGTTAATTAGCATTCTGCTTAGATAAATAATATTCGGGAAAAAAATGATACTCAGGAAACGCAGTCAAGATATCACTTTAAACGCGTTTACCAATCAATAAAATATATATATGTAACGACACAAAGCGATTGCTGCAATGTTTACATCGAATCAAACTATGACAAATAGCATGTCAAATGTCAGAATGCTAATCAGCTAACGTTACACACATTCGGCTAGTTTTATCTGTGGCGTTACCTAAAGACATGTCAACCTTATCGAGTCCATCTGTACTTCCACCGCCAACCGATTTAAAACTCGATTTGCTCATTTTGCAGTTCGCGCTGTGTTAGAAATGAAGAAGCAAAGGACAAGCTCCCTACACGCACGGTCTAACAACTCAAACGAACAAGATAACACTAGCAAACTAGCCAGCTTTCGTTGAGCGCTCACAGCGTCTGCGCATGCGCTCATTTACGCACTTCGCGCTGAGGCTCTTGGGAAATGTAGTTTCAAGAAACGAATTTACTCAGATTTTGCACTAATCGTAAAATTCAGCAATACTTTCGACATATAACAATTACTTGCATTTGAGTGCTAAATGGCCATGTGTGTTTAGTGCACTTCTTCCAATTTTGTGCAATCAATTCTTTGTTATTCTTATGGAAAACGTAGCGTTGGGTAACACAGCAGGAGCGTAAGCCCCGCCTCCAGCAGTCATTGGTCAAGGAGAGGTGTTATAAAACCAACCAACCACAAGTGAAAAAAGTGTGCAGCGACGGAATTATCTTTAAAAGTGCCTTTTGTTTCAGGTGTGCGGGGAATGTATGCTTCATATTAAGTAAACAGTTTGTTTAATTAGCTCTTTTTCTTAATGCACCGTGCACCTTATGCAGTGTTTATCAGACGTCTAACGTTACTGTATGTCCAGGTTGTTTTCTACGAGCTTGTATATCATATACAGCAGAAGAGCGCTACTCCGTGCCATCAGCGACCCAAACACACTTCTACATTACAGTAAAGTTCAAGTATATTTTAAGTATACTTTATGTAGTAAGTATATGTGTTATTATAGGAAATAATTAGAAACATTTGCTTATATTCTCCTGGGACCCAGGCATAGACTTCTGTCCTCTTTAGAGGACATTATATTTTAGTGTATTTCTCTGAGACCCTACATGCCACTGTTTGTACAGAGCACATTCAGAGCTTTTTAGAGATATCAAATGTTTGGAGGTTTGATCATAAACACTCCCTCTCCTTGGTCTTTAAACATGACTGATATTTGACAGAATGATCAAATTTAGCACTCTTAGGGAAATATGCTAAAGTTTTGAAATTATCATTTAAATCCGACTAATTTTCAAATTGTTTGTTGTAAATAAACATCTCAGAAAAACGTTATGGGGTTTCAAATTGGAATTTGTCTTTTTGTTACGAAGCAGGGCATAATTTTCATACATGTCTTCTGTAGAGGACACCAGGACAAACATCATGTTAATCAGGCATTTTGGGGAGACACAACAAGTAAATAGGGAAAGAAATTATAGATCAATATTCCTATGAACTATGATATATTCTTATGAAAATGTTGCCAAGTTATTACACCCATTATTACACGTCTTTTTCATTATGGTTTGTCCTAAGAACACATTAATATGCAAATTAGATGCAATGTATAAATGCATTGTATAGAATGGGAATACCAATTTATGGACATTTTACGCACATATTCCATAAAGTAAAATAGTATATCAAATCTTTCTGTTATATCTTTCATAACATAGTTGAGAATCATCTTTGTACAAAGTTTGGCTAAAATAGCCTGAAACCTAAAAACTGTTTGGTGAATAAAAAACAAAACAAAAAAAACATTGTTTTTGCTTATGCATGCCTTTTCATTACCTTTTTATTTTTTTAATAACTTTGACCAATTTAATGTAATTCACAAAACGTTTTTTTTTCTTCTGGTTCTCAGGAGGATATCGTTGTTATAGGACAAAACTGTAAAATTACTTTTCAAAAAAAACTTTTTTTATGAATATTTATATATATATTTAAAGTGTCATTAATGTAAAATACTAAATCAACTATTCTACATAAAAATGAATTTTGACAGTTTAGTTGAATGGTTGAATAACTTCAGACAAAGCAGAAACACAGTACAAGAGATTCATCTGAAAGGTAAATTTATTCCTTGACTTATATACAGGCATATAAAGAATATTTTTATTGGACACTATGAATTCAAATTGAATGATTTCAATTAATCATCTTATGGGTTTTGATGGGTTTAAAAGTGAAGATGTCTGAAATCTAATTCATGGACATACTGAATAATAACCCTATTAATTACAATAAGTATTGAATTTTAAAATAATAACACTAGAACACCTTACTGCGCTTTTTGATCAATTTAATGCATCCTTGCTGAATACAAGTATTAATTTCTTTAAACAAGTCTTGCTGACCACAGACTTTTGAATGGTAGTGTGCATTGGTGTTGTTTGTGTTGCAGATAACTGGGCTCTGATCTACGCTCAGCAGCTGGCCTTGGCTGAGAAACTTCCTCTGCACATCTGCTTCTGCTTGGCGCCTCGATATTTGGATGCGACCTACAGACAGTACGCCTTTATGCTAAAAGGACTGCGAGAAGTGGCAAAGGTACAGAAATATTACATCTCGACTTAAATTAGAGACATCATTGTGTCCGTCATGGAGTGTTTGATGTGTCTGCTGCACACAAACAACCCAGCTTTTGCTAATTATTAGTTAGACTGAGCTACAGAATTAGACCAAACCAGTGTTTTTGATTGGCTGGGGCTGCACTGCAGGGACATTTAATGTGTGATATTTTAATAAAATGTCTCGTTACAGGAATGCAACCGCTTGGATATTCAGTTCCATCTGCTGTCAGGAGAACTTGGACAGAATCTGGCAAGCTTTGTTGAGAAGTGGAAGTTTGGAGCAGTTGTCACTGACTTTAACCCTCTCAGAATCCCTCTCCAGTGGATTGAGACTGTTAAGAAACACCTTCCGGCTGACGTACCCTTCATTCAGGTGTGTTAGTCATTATTTGTCTGTGTACTTGCTCAGTTCTTCTTGCATGTCATGTCATCACTATTGTAGTGCTCATTTCTGACAGTGTGTATTGATTTGAAACTGTGTTACATTTTCCTGCCGCTCTGAATCAAGGTTGATGCACATAACGTGGTGCCTTGCTGGGAAGCGTCTGAGAAGCTGGAATATGGAGCCAGGACTATACGGGGCAAAATCACTAAACTTCTGCCAGAATTCCTCTCAGAGATTCCTCTTGTGGACACTCACCCACACTCCGCTTCTCGTGCAGCAGAGGTTTGATCAAGGATTTTACAGTAGTTGTTTTTTTCCCAATATTTATATGGATATCCTATTTTTTCCAACCTGAAGCATGACCCACATTTATTGTGTAAATCCGATGAAAAATGGCTGCGTTTTCAAATATATTTAAAATGCATGTATTTAATACATTTAACAGGCTTTCCGTGGGTCTTAAAGTCTTAAATTTAGTTGTATCAAATTTAAGGCCTTAAAAAGTCTTCAATTGTACAAGAAAGTCTTAATTAGGATTTCAAGAGGTCTTAAATTTGGGGACGGAAAGACCAGAATTGCGATATGGCTGAATGTGACGATTAAACCTCAAAAGGCTATGATTTCATGAAATAAACACAAGCGCTGCAGGTTCAAAGTCCGGTGCTGCTGCTTTGTGTACAGCAGTTACCGGGGAAACAGTTATATTTCTACCAAACAAACGCTTTACCAGCTGGCAGAGAATGAATGAGCATTTTCAATAAAACTGATGTTTTGTTCAGAGTTCAGACAAATGCAAAAATCGACCCATGTTTTTACCCTGCAAACACGCAGAGCTTTAAATGTGAACTGGTGGATCGATAAGAAGACGATGCATTATAAAAATCTAAACCGAATAGGGGTGTGCGATATGTCTCAAAAGATGGTGCACACTTTTAGAAAAAAAATGACTTAAAGGTAAAAATGCCCATAAAACTAGTTGGAAATGATTAATTTCTATCACTGCTGTGAACTGACCACACAGAATATGAAGAATATCAAAAAAATTCAGGAGTCAGCTGTCAGCACAATTAGAGATAATATATCAGCACAATAACACATTCAGCAAAATATTGTCTAATTATCGTTATCGATAAAATCCCTGTAAATTATCGAGATATCATTTTTTGTCAATATCGCACACCCCTAATTTATGTTATTTAATTGATATAATAATTGATTGTTAATAATTGTTTAAATTAATATAGTAATTAATACTTTTGACTCATCCATTTTCTTAAAAATGGTTTAAAGGCTGAAATGTAAAGTTTATCATTTTATAAAACTTTTTGTTTTTGTGAAAACTTGTATCTGAACTGTAAATTATGCTTTTTACAGCAATTTTACAGTTTAATATGGTACTATAGACATTGCCCTACCCCGCTCATAGGGTATTAATTGTATTTGTGTAGGTCTTAAAAGGGTCTTAAATTTGAGCTTAAAAATCCTGCAGAAACCCTGATTTAAAATACAGAATAAAATAATACAATGTAATAATAATAATACTTGTTATTTATGGTTAATAATTATTATTATAATTAATGAAATAGCTATTTATAATAATTGTAACAATAATAATTTATAAATAAAAATTTAAAATATATATTTTTGTAATATTTGTGACCCTGGAGCACAAAAGCACTCTTAGGTCGCTGGGGTATATTTGTAGCAATAGCCAACAATACATTGTATGGGTCAAAATGATGGATTTTTTTAAATGTCAAAAATTACATTAGATGTTGAAGCCTAGCGGGTTAGACTAGTGCGCGTGCGCATTTATATTGCGTTCTTTCACTGCATGAATCAGTCTATTAAAATGCATTTAGAATTATCACATAATTCAAGATATGGGGCAGAAAATGTATATATTTATATAATTTCATATAGTTAATATCATACGAAAAGTGCCGTTTTTTTTCTCCAAAAGTCAGCATGATTACAAATGTAGTCATATTGAATGTGTGGGGAAAAACAGGTTTTTCTTCTTTTTTGTCCTTAGCTGATCACGACTTGCCTGTTGTAATCTATGAAGTACATCTGCTGTTTGTTTTTTATTATTATTGTTGTTTGCATTCTCAAATGCATTATGACTTTAAACCCTGGATCTACATAACGGGGTGTTTTCCCATCTTCTTCATTTTGAAATCTCTCTGTCTTTCAGCCAGTAGATTGGGAGGAGGTGCTGTCGTCTCTTGAGGTGGACCGCAGTGTTGGAGAGGTGGACTGGGCTCAGCCTGGCTCCTGCGGTGGCATGGCCATGCTGGAGTCCTTCATTGAGCAACGACTGCGTCTCTTTGCCACTCACAGGAACAATCCCAACTGGGACGCCCTCAGCCATCTCTCCCCCTGGATCCACACCGGTCAGTTTGCACTCTGGCTTAGTTGGGTTTTTGTTATTGTTGTTCATGCAATAAAAATAAATGGGGTTCAAAACATCATTGTTGTATTGACAAAAAAAATCTTCTGTGATCTACTAAAGAAAGAAAGTCCTGCAGGTTTAGAACAACATTACACCATCCACTTTCGTATAGATGTGGTTTAGAGGTCGTAATAGTTGATATATTTTCTCTTGAAGGTCAGTTGTCTGCTCAGCGTGTCGTGAAGCAGGTCAAACGAGAAAAGAACGCCAGCGAGTCCGTGGCGTCTTTTATTGAGGAACTGGTGGTGCGCAGGGAGCTCGCTGACAACTTCTGCTTCTACAACCACAACTATGACAACATTTCAGGTGAGCGCTGTGTCAGTCGCTTTAATCACACACAGGGTTTCTGCAGGTCTTAAAAAGGTCTTAAATTGCAGCAGAAGTCTTGCATTCATTACATTAAATGTATGCACTGCAAAGAATAAATATCAGTAAACATATATCAGTACATAAATATGAATATCAGTATTTTTGTCTAGTTTTCTAGGTCAAATATCTAAACATCCTTAAATCAAGATACATTTACTTGAGATGCAAATTGAAGATTGTTAAAGCCTTGTTGTATGAGAAATTGAACAAAATGGAGTTTATGCTTGAAACAAGAACAGGTATCTGTCAAAAGGGTATGAAAACTTGTTTTCCCTTTGAATTAAGTTTTTTTTTTTTTTTTTTTTTGACCCCATCAGCAGATTTGTTCATGTTTTAATTGTAAACACACTTAATTTTGATCGGTTTCTAGGAATACATGACTTATCTTCAGTCATTGCGCTTCTCAATGTATCTTGATTTAAGAATCTTTAGAAATTTGCACTGGAAAATTACAAAAATACAGACGAAGAACATCATGTTTTTGCAGTATGATCAGAAGATACAGTAAAAGTTATTTCCATCTTCTAGTTAAGCTGTTTTTGTTTTTAAAATTATTTAAAAATTAGTGGAGATCTGTATTTTCAAATTGTTGCTAATACATCTCATTTTGTGCTCGCTCACATTGACATTTAGAGAACATATTGATGTATTGTGTTCCCTTCAATTAATTACTTAAATTTTCTTTTACTGGTCTTAAAAGATCTTAAATTTACCTTCAAAAAACCTGTAGAAACTCTGCACAGTAACAAGATACATTTACAAATGTAACAAATTTGCAAGCTTATTCCAAATAATATGCATTATTTTCTGTGCACAGGTGCATATGATTGGGCGAAGAAGACTTTGCAGGATCACGCTAAGGATCGCAGACAGTACCTTTACACAAAAGAGCAGCTGGAGAACGCCAAGACCCATGACCAGTTGTGGAATGCTGCACAGGTAGCTAAACAAGAGTTTCTCTTGAAACACTTTAATTAAAGTGTGTTTTTTTGGTTGTTTCATAGTACGGTTTTTGTCATTTTTGTATGTCAAACCCACTGTTGTAATGGCAAACCCAGTGAATCGACCTGTTCAATGCATTGAAATGTGTTGTAGCGTCAGCTGGTGTTAGAAGGGAAGATGCATGGGTTCCTGCGCATGTACTGGGCAAAGAAGATCCTGGAATGGACTGCATCCCCTGAAGAAGCCCTCTCTATTGCTATATATCTGAATGACCGTTTGTCTTTAGACGGCTGCGATCCCAACGGATACGTGGGTGAGAAACGTAATGTTTTGATTGCTCTAGCAGATCAAATACATTCTTACAATAAATTATTAAAGTAGTAGTATTTAGTAGGCTTTGTAGGTATATTATTAATTTTATTTTACGTTATTATTTTTTTTAACTATATATATATATATATATATATACACACATATAAGTTTGGGGTCAAGAAATTAAGAAATTAATACTTTTTTTTTTTCAGCAAGGATGCATTAAATTAATCAAACCGGACAGTAAAGAAAAAAAAATTGTAATAATATTTCACATTATTACAGTTTTTACTATATTTTTGATCAAATAAATGCAGCCCTGGTGAGGATAATAAACTTCATTCAGAAACATTAAAGGGGTCATATGATGCGATTTCAAGTTTTCCTTTCTCTTTGGAGTGTTTTCTTTAATATTCTTCACAGGCTGCATGTGGTCCGTCTGTGGCATCCATGACCAGGGCTGGGCAGAGAGGCCCATCTTTGGCAAAATTCGCTTTATGAATTATGCCGGCTGCAAGCGGAAGTTTGATGTGGCACAGTTTGAGAGGAAGTGCGCGGCTATAAAGGAGAACTCCAATAAAGATACCAAGAAATCTTCTTTCAACAACTGACATACATAAAATTTCAGTGCTCAGCGTTTGTACTTGTTTTAGAGAGACTGTGTTTAAGGGGCCTTTTTCTGCCAGACATTTTTCTGTAATAAGTGGAAGTTTATTAATAAATTTGGTCTGAAAACTGGGTCGGGCTTTCTGGGATGGTAATCAAATGGTTCAGGTTATACTTAGAAGGGTTCCAAGAAGACTCCCAAGCAGACCATTAGACAGCTGCAGCTCATCCATAACGCTGCTGCCAGGATTCTGACTAGAACCAGAAAATCTGAGCATATCACACCAGTCCTCAGGTCCTTACACTGGCTTCCTTCTACATTTAGGATTGATTTTGTTAAACCCCTTCTGAAAAAGAGCAATCTTGATAACACCATATTGAGCAACTATAGACCAATATCAAACCTTCCTTTTATAGGAAAGATTATTGAAAAGGTAGTCTTTAATCAGCTGAACAAATACTTAAACTCAAATGGATACCTGGACAATTTTCAATCTGGTTTTCGACCGCATCACAGCACAGAGACAGCGCTCATTAAGATAATAAATGATATTCGCTTAAATTCTGAATCTGGCAAAATATCAGTGCTGGTACTATTAGATCTCAGTGCTGCGTTTGACACTGTCGATCATAACATACTACTAGAGAGACTGGAAAACTGGGTCGGGCTTTCTGGGATGGTAATCAAATGGTTCAGGTCATACTTAGAAGGGAGAGGTTATTATGTGAGTATAGGAGAGCATAAGTCTAAGTGGACGTCCATGACATGCGGAGTCCCACAAGGCTCAATTCTTGCACCGCTCTTGTTTAGCCTGTATATGCTCCCACTAAGTCAAATAATGAGAAAGAACCATTGGTTCTATCACAGCTATGCAGATGACACCCAGATTTACCTAGCCTTATCATCAAATGACTACAGCCCCATTGACTCCCTCTGCCAATGCATTGATGAAATTAACAGTTGGATGTGCCAGAACTTCCTTCAGTTAAACACGGAGAAAACTGAAGTCATTGCATTTGGAAACAAAGATGACGTTCTTAAGGTGAATGCATACCTTGACTCTAGGGGTCAAACAACTAAAAATCAAGTCAAGAATCTTGGTGTGATTCTGGAGACAGACCTTAGTTTCAGTAGTCATGTCAAAGCAGTAACTAAATCAGCATACTATCATCTCAAAAACATTGCAAGAATTAGATGTTTTGTTTCCAGTCAAGACTTGGAGAAACTTGTTCATGCCTTTATCACCTGCAGGGTGGACTATTGTAATGGTCTTCTCACCGGCCTTCCCAAGAAGACCATTAGACAGCTGCAGCTCATCCAGAACGCTGCTGCCAGAATTCTGACTAGAACCAGAAAATGTGAGCATATTACACCAGTCCTCAGGTCCTTACACTGGCTTCCAGTTATATTTAGGATTGATTTTAAAGTACTTTTACTCGTTTATAAATCACTCAATGGAATAGGACCTAAATACATTGCAGATATGTTCACTGAATATAAACCTAACAGACCACTCAGATCTTTAGGATCGAGTCAGTTAGAAATACCAAGCGTTCACACAAAACAAGGGGAGTCCACTTTTAGTTATTATGCCGCCCGCAGTTGGAACCAGCTTCCAGAAGAGATCAAAACATTAGCCACATTTAAATGCAGACTCAAGACTCATCTGTTTAGCTGTGCATTTACTGAATGAGCACTGCTACGTCCGAACTGATTGCACTGTATTTTATGTATAATCATTTTCTATTTTTAACAGTTTTAAATTCACTGTAAATCAATTTCTAAATAATTTAAAAAGTTTTTAGGTTCCCTGTTTTATTGTTATGATTTTTTTAATGATTATTTTACTTCCTTTTATGTAAAGCACTTTGAATTACCATTGTGTATGAAATGTGCTATATAAATAAACTTGCCTTGATGTTACAAAGTACTCTATGATCATGCATTGCAGACTTCAAAAATGCAATGTAGGCTATAGACATTGTACAGTTGTATTCTGCAATTTTTTTATGTACAATGGTGGAAGACTCAATTACCAAAAATAAAACATTTTTTGTTAAGAAAATTTCTCGTATTGTGTTACAATACACTGCCTTTAGATTATAAGCTCATACTGAGTGTCTAAAACAGTGGTTATAAACACAGATCTCACTAGAGGGCCTCAGGATGACTTAATGATTGAAATTAATTACAATTAAAATACTTAATTAAAATGCAAAAAAAAATGAACATGTACAGTAATTTCTGTATAACAACAACTATCATTTTATCAAAGCCCAAAGTTCTTGAAATTTCTTGAATCAAAAAGAATTGTGGTGAATTCATTCAAAATATTGACATTCTCAGTTTTCGCTAATAAAAGGTTTGAAAACACCTTTATAGCTTTGTGATAATCGCAACAGAGCACACCAGAGGAAATATAATAGCTTATATATGAGGGGCTTTTGTACTGTATTGTGTTGGACAGTAGGGGGCTTTTAAGAACCACTGATCTAAAAGGTAAAGACCACCAAAAAAGGCAATAATGGTTTCAGGAAACAGGCCTACAATTGTATTAATTTCATTCAGAACATGACATGACAACTGTCATTAAATCTAAGAAAAATATTTATATTCAGGGAATGCTTTTTTCTTAAAGGGGTCATCGGATGCAAAATTCACTTTTGTTGTTGTTTTAACATAAATGTGTGTTTAAAGTGAGTGTACACATCCATCCTATAATGATAAAAATCCACCCAGTAGTTTTTTTTTAATCCCAATTTTAAAATCCCCTTTCTCAAATCAGGCTGTTCTGAGATTCCTGTCAGAATGACGTAGTTCTGCACAGGCCCCTCCCACGATAGTTGATTGACAATAATGTTTCAGCACAGACTGGGCTGCTGTCTTACCTTAAGACCCGCCCTGAGTAAGCTGAGAGCTGTCCCCATTGTGTTGACTCCGGTGCAGGGGAAGACAAGAATGTCTCCGATTAAGCAATTGAGGTGTTTTGTTGTTGGATGT